TGAAAATATTTCTCTTCGTGCTTCAAGTTAGTCAACAGGCTAAGAAATAGTAAATATCATCAATCTTATTGCCAACATTGTTATCATTTTATTGCCTTTTTATTCCTCAAATGTTATTACTCGGCCTACGTGGACCATTTTTCGTTTTAATTATATATATATATATATACATATATATATATATATATATATATATATATATATATATATATATATATATATTAGAATATATGAATAAGACTAGGAAAGTTACTGCCAGAATTTTTATATAAAAATTTAGCTGTATCATCTTCAATCTACGTAATTAATATTTACCTCTGAGTTAAGTGCCTTGACACGGATGAAATCTATCGTGTATAATGCTTTTGTCATTATTAGGCTCCATGCACGTGGATTCACTTATATGTAGCCTATGCTTGTGGCGATATTTTTGCTTTCACAAATAAATAGAAGAGTTAAAAAGCTGTATATGTTTAAAGCCAGGAATATAACCGCAAACGTAATATTCTCGCTCATGCATGTACAACTGCTTCTTGCATTGTTTTTCCCCGACTTTGTTATGAAATCAACATAAAACAAGTTGGCTATTACGAGAAAGTCATGTTTTCCCATTTCTTCTCTCGGGCACTCTCGGCATGTCTGAGTCGATTACTGTCATAATGTTCGGAAAGTGAACTTTTATTGAAACGAGAGAACAATTCACGTGAATAACGGATGGAATTGGTGAACTCGGTGCAATGGAAATTAGGTCGACCGATCGCCACCATATTGGTATTGGAAATGCTGTTGATGGTTGCGGAATCTAAGGCCGCAGACGGCAAATCTGGACGCACGGTAGTAGGCGAAATCCATGTTTGAATGATTATTCTCCATCTGCGGAAAGACAAGTCTTAGCTGATCGACTAATGTAAACACAGAGATAATATTATAAGTGGCGACATTTGCTCGCCCATGATGCACGCCAGTTTTCATGATTTCACTGATGCATAACACAGTGCAGTCAAATGTTTTATGTAGAAATGTTGAGCGTATGATACGATACGTGGGTTTATTTATTGTTATCCCTCTCCACAAATTCACTCTGTTTATATCTTGATTTGATCGATCGATTGATTTATTCTCTACGGCTTACCATCCTTTTTTGCAAGTTATTTAAAGCCAGACGATATTTTCAGATTGAAAGAATATTTCTTTGGTGATAATAATGATTTACTGATACAAGTCTTTCTAATTAACCTATGGCTGGGAGATAAGAGATGGATTCATATCTTTATCAGGGGTATTTGTGCGTAATGGAAGAAGAGATGTGAGACAACAAAAATAAGCTTCTACAGAAGAATGTTGAGTATACTATGGACTTGAGTATTTGCGACGGATAACATTTTATGAATAATGGAAAGAAAAAAGAACACTCATACTTAGAATCAGAAAGACGTATTCCTTTTGACATACAATAGAGGTTTTGCAGTATTTGACACATGGCATAAACGATTTTTATAGCTGGTAATATTTTTTCGAAAAAATATATTGTTGGTGATATTTTTTCTTCAAAAATGTATTGCTGGTAATATTTTTTCCATCAAAAATGTATTGCTGGTAATAATTTCCCCTCAAAAAATTATGGATGGTATTAAAACCTGTTTTTAAACTTTTATAGTGTTTTGACTCCATTTTTTTGGTTAAAAAAATTCCCATAATTGGGACCCTTACAGGTACTACATCCCCGGGAACATCAGCAATTAAGAAGTGGTTCCACGCTCCTCAAAACCTCTTGATCAGAGACCTTGCTGTTGGACGTAGTTTATCGTTTTACCCAGGATGCAGCTGTAGTTTATTGACATACCTTGAACGGTTGAAGGTTGGGCGAACAACTCAGAGTGTGTATCTTTCATACTGTGTAAGATTGATCTATATATTCATCATATTTATTCATATTTTCAGCTTTCTACAGTAGAGTAGGTTTATATTTTCAAGAATACAACGGTTTATGAGACAATTTAATTTATTTGTGACGTGCTTTTACATGTCAGTAAATACTAAAGTCGGCATGTAATAATACTTTTCATCTGCCTGATTATTTGATTGATGTTAAGATTTACTTTTTATCCATACATGGTTAATTATGCTTAGATTTTGCGTATTTTGTAAAGCTAAAAGAAAACATTTTTAAATTGTATTTCCTGGACAAGTTAAAGTTTATCAACATACTTAAAGAGATCATTTGATATCGGATAGGCGCATGAAACTGGCAGTCGCCTTACAATGTTGATCACTATACCCACATTGTCTATATAAAAAAAGAATCAATGTTAAATATAGTCAACTTACATAAATATATTTCTGGATTTTCCAAAATGGGATTCAGTAACCTAAACCTTAAAGTTTATGTTATTCTCTATATGGATAGAAAAATAACCAGAGAGAGCGAAGAAGAGAGAGAGAGAGGGGGAAGAAATCAGTTCAGCTCAGGTGCACAACACTGCCTGAATAAAAAGTGGATTATATCTCATCGAAATGGATCAACATGCTTTTCTTTATTGATCTACCAAAGAAATAACGACACATATAACCTGCGTACTGTCTTGTTTTTCTTTTTCTTCACATATGCCAAATAACTGAGAGGTAAAAGAGATATTCGACTAAAACGAAGATCTTTTCTATTAATTTACGCCAAAATAAGAATAAAAAAAGAATTTATATTTACTAAAATTCACACCAAATTCTCCCAGAGTGAGGCACTTCCATTGCACGTCGGTTGAGTTGACATTTGCGATCGCCCCAAATATGGGTGACTCGGCTGCACTATTTCTAAGTATGGGGTCTGAATCGCGTTTACGTTGATAAACAAACCAAAACAGATTTTTGTTTTTAACTGTAAAACATTCTTTGCAAATACCACGAATATCATCCGCACTTACAAAATGTGTGCTGCGGTTTGGAAATTTTTCATTCAGAGGTCTGGAGTTGTCGTAAGGCAGCTTGAATAAATTTTGATTTAAAATTTATAATTTTTATAGGTGAATTAATATATGCGATAAATAACTTTACATTGAATTAACAGAAAACATCCTGAAAAGAAAATACGCTATACTGAAAGGCTCTCATAAAGTCGAAACATCCAGAAATATCCCGAAAAACGTCTCATAAAACCGAAACATCATGAAACATCCCGAAAAAAGTTTCATAAAATCGAAACATCCAGAAACATCCCGAAAAACGTCTCATAAAACCGAAACATCATGAAACATCCCGAAAAAAGTTTCATAAAATCGAAACATCCAGAAACATCCAAAAAACGTCTCATAAAACCGAAACATCATGAAACATCCCGAAAAACGTCTCATAAAATCGAAACATCCAAAACATCCCGAAAAACGTCTGATAAAACCGAAACCACCCAAAAAGAAACGATTAAATTTTTTTTCAAATTGTGAACAGTTTTTTAATGAAAAAAGACATGACATGTCTATATCTCTGAGATGAGGTATTATGGTTATTTACATTTTTTACATTATTCGGACAGTTATCCTCATCTCCAGTGACATATTCACAACGTTTCGGCCGTTATATGCTCCAGTCTTCTTCAGGTGATTGGAATATCAAACCAAACTCTATATTTCGTCGAACGGGGTAGGTTGTTCTAGCTCGACGTGTTGTGCCTCTTCCTGATACCTCAGTTATTTCCTATCAGCTCTCCAAGTTTTTTGTTTCACCACTGATGTAGCACGGTATTGGGCCCACAACACTTTGGTTCTAGTCATAGGTTCTAACCAACACCTTTATCCACTGGCCCATATGTCCTGAAGATAAGGATAACGGTAATGTAAACAAGTGCTGAGCTGGTATATTATATGTACCCTCCTGTGCGGTAATGAATGCTTATGATCAAAGAGGAAACACAAAGCGTCAGGAAAGTGATCCTTCCGATCCTGAGAATAAAATTGACTAATCACGAGGATGATCTAAAGATAATTGGAAAAAGAAAGACATCCATAATTAAAATCCGAAAAAGTCGGAATTTCTGGGACAGATTATAAAGATGGCTTGGAAATTTTAATACACACTGGATTAAAGAAGTAGCTGAGTGTAACCTCGAGCAACTTACCCAATGAAAGAATGTCAGAGCACAAACGCGAAAGTAAAAAAAAACAAACAAACAAATATTGCTCAGATCTACAAAGGAAAAGAAGTTGTGGAGACCCTTGAACATCCACATCTTGAGTGTCGATAAAATCGTGTTTAGGCCACGTTTCGAGAATTTGCTATAAACCCAAATTCTTCCTTTGTTCATTTCTAAAAATTTGCACTCGCGTATCTGATCGTCGGCTTACGACCGGAAGAAAAGTCTAAAGTTCTTTCGACATGAGACAGAATAGTTTTATTAGAAATGTTTTCATTGAATAGGTCAGTGGTTCGCCTGAGGTTGAAATGTGCCAATCCAGGACATTCAGTTTCATGTAAAAGAACGGTAGTTGCTTCAAGTATAAACAGTGTTGGAATGTTAATGTAATTATGAAATTCTTGGGCGTCCCGAGTTGGACAATGGAATCAGACAAAGAATCTCAAATAAAAAAAGAAATCGAAAAAGAGGTTTACAAAAAGCAAGAAAAAGAGAAAAATAAAAAGGAAAGAGAGAAGAAGAAGCAGGAACAAGAATTTAGAACAAATAAGGATAAGATGTAAAAAAAGCGAGAGGATAAGTGAAAACAAAGTGTTTATATTAAAAAAAGAAATCTTGATAAATTAATTTGTTTGTTTTTTTCCAGCCTGAATATTAATTAAAGCCAGAAAATTTGTTTAGAAATTTTTAGAAATAATAATGATTTACTTGTATAAGTCGTACTTATTTAAAGGATAGCTGAGGCGAGAAAATGCGGATTTAAACGTTTACCAAGGATATATGCTGGGAAGTGAAATATAACGAATATAACTGGTATTGGAACTCGACTCTCCGATTCCAATTCCGAGCAGTTAAAAATTACACCACCCACACATCCAAGCTTACAGCATCTGATATTCCCAAGCAGTCACCTTCTAAGTACTGACCAGTCTCAACGTTGCTTAACTTCGGTGATCGCACAAGAGTTGGTGTTTCAACGTGATATGGCAGTATGCCTGGCAAAGAAAGAGGAATGATTCAGTTTTCTATAAGTGAAAAGAAAGTAAAAAACAAACAAACAAAAAACATACCAACGATATATCAAAATAACATAGGTGCAAACAACAGGAGCAGAAAAAATACCCAGCGAACCTGAAGGAATTATTGCAAAAAAAAAAATCCTTTGAAATCGGGGAACGGTGAGGAGAATAAGTGAGAAAGAGCGAAATTATACAGAGAGAGAGAGAGAGAGAGAGAGAGCTGTACGTAAAACAAGGAACGATCGAACTGGTCAGAATTGGCGTTTATACCCAAAAGCACCTGTGGAAAAAAAAAGAAACGCATTCTTTTCTTGAAATTCTTATATTTACTTACTGCTAAAAAGGAAATAAAGTTAAAAAATGTTTATATACAACGATAAGGGAAATAAAATAAAAGTATTGCTATACTACGATAAGGGTAAAAAACATTAATACTTATATCAGCATTTCCAAACGAAGTTTTCCTAAAATGAACAATCTAATGTCTTTCACTCAAACCTGAATATCAATTTATATCAAATCACACATACACACATGCATATACAAATATATTTATATACACCTCAGACAGAGACGATACCGGAAAATAAGGGTCCAAATGTTGTCTTCTTCTGAAATGTGATGCTGCTTTGATAACCATAAAATTAGTTACTGTTTAAGTAGGACACTCTCTTTTGGATTCTTTTTCTTACTTTGTTTCATTAACCTGTATACATATATCTTTTTTTACTGGTCTTTGGCTTATTCATTATTCTTTTTTTGTTGTTATTAATTTTTCGTTTGGTCGTGTAAATATATATATATATATATATATATATATATATATATATATATATATATATATATAAATATATATATAGAAAATAGGAAAGCACTCGTTAGGTAAATAATCCAAAGTTCTTTAGTATTTTTGTTATTATTTTTAAAAAATAGTGCTCGATACAAAAGTAGAGCATAAATATAATTATTTATTTAAAAATATGATTCAACACGCTACATAAGAGTTCTCATGTTTCAAAACAAGAGCCAAAAACTTCAATATAATTATTTGAATTAAATTGAATTAAAGAGCTAAGCTCTCTTCCATTTAATTCAAATAATTATATTGAAGTTTTCAACTCTTATGTAGCGTGTTGGAATCATATTTTAAATAATTATATAATATATATATATATATATATATATATATATATATATATATATATATAGGTACCTCCATTTATTGGCTAAAATGAGCATACCATGATGAAAAGAATGCGACAAACTTGATAAAATGCGCAAACAGGTATCCATGGAGGACAAAACATACACTGGTAAAAACAGAGAGACTACTCACGGGCACACACGTAAGCCCTACGCAAAATACAAAGAATGTGTATGTGTGTGGGTATATATATATATATATATATATATGTGTGTGTATGCTGATTTCTTTTTATAAGACAATATGTCTATACGGAGAGGCACGCACGATACACAAAATGGAAATAGATTTGACAGTCTCAAAGCTAATGTAGGGCTAGGAAAACATCTCTCATCAACACATCTATCATAACCATCACTCAGACTTAATCTAATGGCTTTATTACCCCTTAGGCAGAAATTCACATTTTGTCAACAGTTCAGAAATGAGATCAAGGCTCACTACAAATACAGAAAACGAACAATGAAACATTAAAAGAATATAAAGAAAATTCCTTTAACAATTGATTCCTTTTATTTGCCTGAAGAAGGTTATCGGACCGAAAACGCGTGTAGCAAAAATATGAAGAATAAACTACAATATATTCGCTAAAACAAATCCACATTATAACCAAGAAAGTTTACGGTTTCTCTGGGTTTTATTTCAATATGCATTTTTCTATCGTTGGAACACCTTAAACTTTTCCATATATATATATATATATATATATATATATATGTATATATATATATATATATATATGCTATGAGAACGAAAGTAATATATAAATTTCAACGTTCACAACATTAATCCAAAAGACGGTCGATAATTATTCCTTTATTAGAATTTTATCATATAGACAAAACCATTTTACTCACTACAAAGATGCAACTTGGTTTCAGTGCATTTCAACTGAACTTCGACGGGTAAGAATCGAAAATAGTTATGAAGAATCCTGCTTGCGAAACGTCACTTCCTTTTTTCCATTTGTGTGAGAAGAAAAAAAATATATATATATATAAACATTATTTTTAGTAGATGCACATATTTGAATAGACGCTCCGCTATTTTTTTTTAAGTATATTTATTATCGTCTCTTGTCGTGAATACTGAATATTCGAGAAATTTTATTAAAGAAGAAATATGCAAGTTCAGCATTCTGACGGAGGTCGCTGATTTTTCTTTAATAAGATTTTTAGAATACTAAAACCGGTAATAAATATACACTTTAAAAAAATAATAAAAAACGTTGAACTAGTAAAAAATCTGTCGGATTAATAAAGAAAAATTTTAAAAAAACACAAACACACACACACACACACACATATATATATATATATATATATATATATATATATATATATATATATATATATATATATATAGTACTTAATGGAAAGTGTTCAATGTCTGTGATATAGCTAACATATTCAGTTGTATGGATAAGATTTTGTAACCCTTGCGTATATATGTATGCTCGAACACATGGATGTGTACCTGCGTCTAGCCTCAGATTATTTATATGGGTGTAAAATGCATTCACCTGTATGTATATGTGTCTATGTGTGTGAGAGTGTCATCCCAAGCAAACACAGAAGATAATTTCACACCACCACACACAAATAAGCATAAATAGATACATTTATTAAAAAATAAAACAGTTTGTCTGATGAAAGCAAAAAGCGTGAAACCCAGAGTTAGAAACAACTCAATATATATATATATATATATATATATATATATATATATATATATATATATATATATATATATATATATAATTGAACATAGAAGTCAACACTTAGAGGCGACAGTCTGTTTCATGCTAGATGCAAATGTCAGGTCTGTTCCCTTTTATATTTACACTCGCTTTATCTCTGATATTGAGCACTTTATCCCATAAATATAGCACATCTTAAGTCTATATTTCTTTATATATATATATATATATATATATATATATATATATATGTGTGTGTGTGTGATTTGCTAATTTTTGATACAAAGACTATTATGGGAGAATGCAGTATTTACGTACTTCCTAAAAAGCAGTTGTGCCATGTCAGTGACGAGACATTCTGCTAGCATATGTGGCAATGGAATTTTGTAAAGGGGAAATTAGATTCATGCTTTTCCAAAAGTATTCATGGGAGCGGAATATATGCTTCTACGGACATATTTACAAATCGGGTTGCCGAATCCATATAACGCCTTTTCGGTTTAACAATTTTGTGAAAGGCAAATACACCAATTCGAAAACATGTCTCTTACTCAGTTTTGAACTCAGCCTATCGATATCTACTGAGTACTGTTCGTAATATTTTCCCCAGTCCATTATTACATGTTATGAATCTTTTTTTTTAATTTTTGTCTTTTTAGGGATATCATTCTTTTCCTTTCCATTCGATAAATACATTGAAAATAAACACAGATTTCTTATGGAATCGCCCATCGTTAAGTTTTTTGGACGAATGGTTTTTTATTATTCGCTAATATAACCAGTCAAGTGCTTGCAAAATGACTTTGTTGCTCGTCTTCGGCCTTTAACTTAAAAGCCTCTCAGACTGAAGTTCTTTATTCCTATATTTACGAGCGAGCATAAAGACATTTAATTAAAGAATGAAAATAAAGGATGAAAGCAAAAAAGGACAACGAAGCTAACGATTACCTAAATGTTAAGATGATTAGTCAATCGATTTAATACTTGCCTTCGTTTATCTTAATCCATTTCTAGAGCCAGTAAGTCTAGCCGGTTGCCATTGGCCGTAAAACCCTTGAGTGATCGAATCTTTTTCTAATCATAGACAAGGAAAGCTATAACGCGAACACCAAGAGAGCCTGAAGATTTGAAAAGGAATTGTCTCTGTCGATAGAAATTGGGAATTTTGACAGACAAATGCTTGGTACGAAAAAAAATCATTCTTATGACAACTGTATTTCATGCGTTTGATTATGGCTGTAGGCTGAATGACGGGCACTTACTATTAATATGGAGTAACAGTGTTTTCTCACAGTGTTATATTTAAAATACTTTGTTTATGATACTTATTTAGCCAATGTCAGCGCTATTTCACGCTTAGTGATTTTTAAAAGTCGTTGGCTGTTTATTATTTATTCTCCCGAGATAAGTTGTGCTTTTAACATTTTTAAAAGGAATACGCTAGTGAGCCAGTAACTTGAAATATTTTCATTTTTTAATTGTTTGTTATGTTTAATGAAATAAACTCGTATTTTAATTCTATAATACTTTGTTAGAATTATATGTCATAACGTTTTAGAAGGGTAGCTACAAAACACACACACACACACACACACATATATATATATATATTGAAAACACACACACACGCATATATATATATATATATATATATATATATATATATATATATATATATATATATATGGAGGAAGAAGTTGAAAATAGAAAGGACATCTTTTACAATAGTTATTTAGAGTAAATTTAAGAATATTTCAGAAAATTAAATTGAGAAGAAATAATGTGTGGCTATGGCATGATATGTCTCGTATCTGCCTAGCATATATATATATATATATATATATATATATATATATATATATATATATGTATGTATGTATCATATATATATATATAAAACTGACTATGTTTGTGTGTGTATGTGTGTCTGTGTTCGCGAAATACTCGAGAACCATAAGGCATATTTCCACCAAATTTGTAACATAGATTGTACTCGATACTGGGTGTGTCCGGGCAAAACAATTAATCATTTTTCAAAATTCTATAACCGATAATCGATAAATATAAT